TTTGTCATGGTGAGGGTCCAGACAATTTTCATAATACAGATCCGTGGGGGGCCCCCACACAACCTAATTACTCTTTATTAAATAAATTTACCATATTTTATATTTTTGTATAGAAATTCAATTTATTACAATGAATTAACATAAATCCTTTTTAATGTTAATTATTTATTTTTAAGCATATTAAACAACATTTATATTATAAAATCCAATTTTCTAGGACTTAATGCCCTTTCATTAGTTATTTCATCAACATCCTGATATGTCCCTCCACTAATAGACATCATAGCTAGTCCATTTAGTCTCGTCTACATAATAATACAATTAAAAATACAGTATAAATTAGTTCATAATAGGCATAATAGGCATAATTCTAGTTTAGCTCCCAAGCGATTTTTTTAATTTTTTTTATCGAAACTCGTGTAATACATCGAGTTAAAAACGATGGTGCAATCAGAATTTGTCGCTTTCATTTAGTTTCGAAGTTATGGCCTTACAAAGTTTTCGATTTTACGCAACACTACTATAATGACGCGCGGATGACCATTTTTGTAATTTTTTTGTACTTACGTATTCGGTATACCTTTTTTTTGCATTTTTTTTTTTGAAACTTATGTAGTTATGTAGTATGTACCCTGTGACCTACTTGAGGTGGTGTTGCATAGCAAGTCGGGGGATATTTTCGATTTGCGGAGCGGAGCGACGGCGCGAGTAGCGTAGCGACGAGTGCCGCTAACTGTGTAATCACTGCCCATATACTACGACATAACAGACATATAGTGTTGCCAGATGAAAAAAAGTCAAATTCCCTTTCAATTATATAAAATTTCCTTTTTCTCTTAAAAATTTCCCTCACCTAAATTTTTAATAATTTCCCGCAATGCACATTAAAATTTCCCTCAATTTCAAAAATTTTTAGCTCGCTTATATATATTTTCACATTTATTTTATGTCTGTAGACATTGCCGCGGCTACCGTGTGGAGGTGTTGCTGCTATTATATTATGTTATCCGGTACGCGTGATAACTATAGGTATTGATCATTACTATCAATTATCTGTTATCAGTAATTGGTGGTCCAAAATATTGGTGCCTGGTGGTCAAATACCATAGTAAATGCTCAAAGTAATACAATATACAATTAGTTATTCAACTATTAAATCTATTTACTGTAAACGATAAACATTTCTGCTTTCTGATATATTTTTAAAATTAAAATGCCGACGCTCTGTGCCATTGTTGGGTGTTCTAATAAAACAACAAACAAAAATATCTCTTTCTATCGTTTTCCAAAAGTTAAGATGAGTCAGACCTGAAAATGAAAATGAATAAACAACAAAATGCTTGGTTGAAATCATTACGCAGACTTGATCTAGCAAATAAAAATATTGACTACATGCGTGTATGTTCTGCTCATTTTAAATGTGGTAAACCAGCCAAATACCATATGAGATCCAGATTGGTGTCCAACATTAAATATGGGTTATTGTGTTATTAGGGGTACGAGTATATTATTAGGTATAGGTATAATGATGAATTTATGAATTTAATATGATAGGCTAGTGTAAAACTAAATTCACAATTACCATCAAGAGTATATCAATTGAATCTTTGTTAAATATTAAATATTATTGCTTAAGGTTTAGCTACGTCTCCAGTCATGAAAAGGTATCAAATAGCTACTAAAAGGATATTCACGAATCAAATAAATGATCCAAATTCTACAATTTCAATGTACAATGTATAAATACCAAATTTTGTTTTAAATATTAGTCCTAATTATTAATCAAAATTTTTTATTTAGGATTTAGTTACTGTAGGTATTGAAAATGAAGATAAGCCAATTGACACTGGTATATCGTCTTCAACTGAAATGACAATGATTGACATCGGGCCTTAGTGTTATCATTTTGAGCCCCGTACTGTCATCCCTTAAATTCAGCAAATTCCAACCATTCCTCTTGAAATGTTTTTGTTTTCTTAGTAGGAGTTTTGTTGGTATCTTCATCGCTATGACCGTCCATAGAATATAACTATAGTATTACGTATAATGTATATATTGTAATAAGATAATAACTAAAATCGCAGTATGATTTGAGAATCTCTAAAAAAAAATGTCTATTGTCTAATACAAGACATTGTCACATCGAACGACGAAGAGTGAACTTACTACACTCTACACTCTCTACAGTCTACACGGTTGGAGCTTACACACAAAGTGTAACTGTGATAAAACTGATAGGTAACTAATAAGAAACGTGAATCCAATCACTCACGTCCTTTTTTTCTACAAATTATTGTTACAAAAATCCAAAAACATATATACATAGGTTCGGCGTTTTATTACGAGGAACAAACTCCAGTACGCAGAAACCACGGTGACAAAAGTTGTGATCTCGCGATATGTACCAATAATGACTTACATAACACAGTAAATATATGTATTTTTCTTCAAACCTGATAAAATACAATAACGAATATATACCTATATCTAATTAATTATGTTATATTATATGTTTCAAGGAAACAACTTGCACTCCAACTTTAACACAAGGAGAAGAAGTAAGAAGTCAAAATGATCCATTGCTTGAAGAACCAGCATGCTCAAGCCAAGATCCATGCTCAACCGACCGAGGAAGGCCGGTCCGCAATAGAAGACGTCCGGCGTTTTATTACGAGGAACAAACTCCAGTACGCAGAAAACATGGTGACAAAAGTTGTGATTTCGCGATATGTACCAATAGTGCCTTACATAACACAGTAAATATATGTATTTTTATTCAAACCTGATAAAATACAATAACGAATATATATATGATATATCTAATTAATTATGTTATATTATATGTTTCAAGGAAACAACTTGCACTCCAACTTTAACACAAGGAGAAGAAGTAAGAAGTCAAAATGATCCATTACTTGAAGAACCTGCATGCTCAAGCCAAGATCCATGCTCAACCGACCGAGGAAGGCCGGTCCGCAATAGAAGACGTCCGGCGTTTTATTACGAGGAACAAACGCCGGTTGTGTACTATGACGTATATGAGAGTGATACAGAAAAATAAGTTTTAATAAATTTTAAATAAAAATTATGTACATTTTGAATAAACGAATCTATTTTTAATGAATGTAATCATGTTCTATATGTAATCCTGAGTGTAATGTAATCCTGTTATATTGTACTACCAAATTTGGATCTTTCATTCGCATTAACCATATTATATCTACTGGGTTTTTTTTTTGTATCGACCGGCAGGATTACTAAGAATAGAAATATACAACCAACGTTTGCACATCCGTCAACGCTATATGCAAGGACCCCCTTCCACCCCCCCCCCACGCTAACAACACCACCATCGTCTTCATAATCATAACCACGGTCGTTTCAGAAAAAAGGTGGAAAGGGGGTCCTTGCATATAGCGTTGACGGATGTGCAAACGTTGGTTGTATATTTCTATTCTTAGGAATCCTGACGTCCGATACAGAAAATATAATAATATAATATAATAATCAAAGCTTTTGTTAGAGAACACATATTATGATAAATAATTGTCGATAAGATACGAAATATATATCATCAAAGGTTTCACTGATCCACTGTCCATGTCTATCTGCTCTGTCGTCCACTGCTTGAGTTTTTGAAGTCAGATATATTATTTTAATTTTTTTAAATTGAATTTTTATTATTTTTTTAATTTATTTAAATTAATTTAAAAAAAAAAATAATGTTGCGAAAAATGACATTAATAAAGGTACAATCAGCGAAACAACAGATCATTAAATACTATGTGTATTAGGGTGTCCCTTAATTTTTTTTTTTTCATTTTTGTTGGTCTCACCCACTTTATTTGTGTATATGCATGAAAAAATGAATTACAAAAAGTTTCAAGTCAATCTATTAAGGTTAACCCGTGCCGACTTGAATTTGAAATTTGAGTATATTAATTCATTCATAATTTAATGATATATTTTACATTTTTATATATATCTCGATTACAATAAGGAAAATTAAAATTTGTTACATAATATGTTTTAAATATAATAAAATTGTCTATAAATTACCTTCTTACATACTTCTTCTTATTTATTATAGTTTACAAGATATATTGACTTTTGAGTATGAAAGTACTATTTTCTCAAAATTATATTATGAATTTTTATAAATACACATTGCGCACAATTACAGAAATCATCAGATTATTTGAACAGTACAAACATCGTTAATAACGACATATTCAACATAACGATTCGTTATGTTGAATATTATCGTATTTTTTCTAGATAAGAATGATACGGATTACGATCCAGGAGTCTAATAGATTTTTATTAATAATATCGTGTAGTCGTGTTCGTTGCGGTGCGTGATTAGTAAAGTTGTGTTCGTCGTTTGTTGTTACGTTTTTTTTGGTAATTATTTTGCAAATATGTCTAGAAAATTACGTGCTGATGATCAAATATTTTTGATTGGGTCACCATCTACCCAAATACTAGGCTCAAAACTCCCGTCAATTGGACAAGTGCTTTCAGTATTTTTTTATAATGTGAGAACAGTAAAACTTAATACGAGAGAAAGTGCTTTGTTAGCCGTTCGTGAATGTAATATTTTTTGGGAAAAAGCTCGAATTCCTGTTCGAGCAGTTCAACATTGTATTAATAAACTTTTAAATGTGTACGAAGAATGGCGTGCTCTACAAAAAAATGCACAAAAGGTAGGCGATTCATTTAAATTAAAAGAAACAGAATTCATAAACAAACTGAACAATTTATTTGATATTGCACATGTTAATGCTTTAAATATAATGAAAATTGAAGATGACAAACAGTTTTTAATTAACCAAAGACTTCCTGGTCGAATTGGTTGTCTTGGTGGTATAGACAAAAAGTTACTTGAAAATGAAAACAAAACAAAAAAACGTAAATGTAGTGAAATTGAAAAGCTAACAAATAGTAAACTTCAATTATCAAATTATAATGCAACTGAAATTCAAAATCAATTATCTGATATGTCCTTAAGTTCACCGTCGTCATCGTCGGATTCAGAATACACGCATTGCACTCGTATACCAATGACACTATCAGAAAAAAAAAGGGGCCGCACAAATTTCATTACTCCAAAGCTTGTTGCTGCATTAGATCGATGTAAATTAAGTGTACGGGACTCAGTTTATATTATTCAAGCAACAGCTGAAGCATTGGGTAACAATGTTGATAGTTTGGTTATAAATAAATCGTCTATACATCGATGTCGTGATGCTTTACGAGTTGAACGCGCCAATAAAATTAAAACCAATTTTGAAAGTTCTGTTCCTAGTTATATAACTGTACACTGGGATGGAAAAATACTACCAACGTTAAATGTTAGAGACTCAGGTATTGATAGATTACCAATTGTTTTAACCAGTAATAATCTAGATTTGCTTATTGGTATCCCAAAATTGGAAAAATCAACGGGAAAAGAACAAGCTAATGCTATATATTATGCATTAGAAAATTGGGGCGTAACAGATGTTGTTCAAGCTCTATGCTGTGACACCACCGCTTCAAACACAGGGCGTTTTAATGGTGCATGCGTTTTATTGGAGCAAAAATTGGGAAGAGACTTACTTTACCTACCATGTCGCCACCACATATACGAAATAATTTTACGTGGCGTTTTTGAAGCTGTACTTCCGCATACAACGACAAGTCCTGATATCCCACTATTTAAAAAGTTTCGAAACAATTGGAATAAAATTGATATTTCAAATATAATTTCTGGTATAGACGACCTTGAGTGTTGCACTGCTTTAGAAGATGTACGAAATGATATTCTCCACTTTTGTCGAGCTATGTTGCAAAATAAATGTTACAGAGATGACTATAAAGAATTACTTGAGCTATCTATAACTTTTTTGAATGGTAATTTAGATAACAAATTTAAAATACGTCCACCTGGAGCAATGCATCAAGCTCGCTGGATGAGTAGAGCTATTTATTGTTTAAAAATATATATTTTCCGAAATCAATACTCTTTATCATCTTCTGAAAAAAACGCTATTCGTGATATTTGTGTTTTTATTGTTCGATTTTATTTAAAATCTTGGTTCAGCAGTACCGCAGCAGCTAGAGCACCGGCAAATGATTTAAATTTTATAAAATGTTTAAAACAATACGAAAATGAACACTCCAAAATTTCAAAAGCCGCTATAACAAAAATTAGTAATCATTTATGGTACTTAACAGAAGAGGCAGCAGCATTAGCTTTCTTTGATGACACATTATCAAACGAAATCAAAAGATTGATGGTACAGTCACTTAATAACGATGGAATTATCCAACCAACTAAGCGTCTTATTGTTTCATTTCAAGATCTTGGAGAAACCTTTTCAGGTATATTATACTATAGTTTTTGATATATAATTACGTAAGTCGTAAGGTTATTAATAGATAATGTATTATTTTTTTTGTAGAAAAAACACTGGCGTCTTTTATATCAAAGAATAGTATGCAATTTTTTTCTCGATTTAATATTAATACGGACTTTTTGAATGATGATCCGAGCACATGGGACAATCAAATTAGTTATTTACGCGGGAAAGAAATTGCATGCTCGCTAAATGTAGTAAATGATACAGCGGAAAGAGCAGTTAAACTTATGGAAGATTTTCACGGAACTTTAACCAAAGATGATAAGAAGTCTGAGTTGCTATTACAATGTATACAAGAACACAGAAGACTATATCCTGATTGTAAAAAGGAAACATTGAAAAAACAATTTTAATTAATAAAAATGTAAAATAATATTTTAAGAAAAAAGTACTTTCGTACACAAAATTCAATATATCTTGTAAACTATAATAAATAAGAAGAAGTATGTAAGAAGGTAATTTATAGACAATTTTATTATATTTAAAACATATTATGTAACAAATTTTAATTTTCCTTATTGTAATCGAGATATATATAAAAATGTAAAATATATCATTAAATTATGAATGAATTAATATACTCAAATTTCAAATTCAAGTCGGCACGGGTTAACCTTAATAGATTGACTTGAAACTTTTTGTAGTTCATTTTTTTATGCATATACACAAATAAAGTGGGTGAGACCAACAAAAATGTAAAAAAAAAATTTTATAGTTAAATAAGGGACACCCTAATGTGTATAGAGATATTTTTGATGATTTAAAATTTTCTGATTTTATTGGTAATTACATTATTTTTATTTTAATAATTATGAATAAATAGTTACTTTATTATATTAAAAATTTAAATATTTATTTAACAATATATTCATATATATTAGATCCACCGAATGAACCAATTAACTATAATTATGAACAATTACAACGTATTGGTGAGTAATTATTTTATAATATTATAAAATATCAAATTCTTTTATTATATTATATTTTAAATAAAATTTTTAAATTAAAATTTAAATATTTATTTAACAATATATTTATACATATTAGATTCACCAAAGGAGACAAATAATAATATTCATGAACAATTAGAAAGTATTGGTGAGTAATTATTTTATAATATTAAAAAATATCAAATTTTTTTATTATATTATATATTAGAGCAACCCAAAGATGGAGCAAAAGAGCCCATTGTACGTAAAATGAGGAAAAAAAAATGTTTTTGAAAATGTTAGCATAAATGGAGTTTAATTTTTAGATTCTGAGTGAAACGATGAATGTATTGATTTTACAATGATGTGTGTTTTTTTTTTAATTTTTTTTACTTTTTTTGTGTCTTTGTACACGATAAGTAGTCGAAATAATGCTTCGATTTTCGACTTCAGTATCTCGTTCGATTGGAAAGTGAATATCGTTGGTGCATTGGGAAGGTCAAAATTTAAAATTCCCAGTACTTTTCAAAAGCGCCAAGAAAAACAGAAGAAAAATTAAGGAAAAACGGGAATTTTTACGCAAAATTGATTTTTCAGAAAATTGAATTTGGTTTTTGGTGTAACTTTAAAACAAATGACCGTAGATACATGAAATTTTCACTGGTTGTTTATATTTTCATTTTCTATACACGATAACATTTTCAAAATATTTTGATCTATTTTGAACTGTTTAGGGACATTTTCATTTTTCATTTTTTTTTAGTTTTTTTTCTAGAAAAATCAATAAAATTTTATTTGTTGGTTAAAAAAACTTTAAAATTTAATAGAAGGCTCCTAGTATATTGTTTCAAAGGCAGATGAAAAATATTAAAAATCGTTAGTCACAGTTTTTTTTATAAGCATTTAAAGTTCAAAAATTGACAAAATATGGAAAAATCACGAAAATTAGCAAATTATTTTGAGTTAAGAATTCGTAAAAATTTTTCTTTTTAAATCTAAGATTTGAAAATGTAATACAAGATTACTCATAAGTTTTTCTACCTTTATAAATAAAAAAATCTCTACCGGACAGTCAAATTAAATTTTTATGAGCGTTTGAAATTCAAATTTTTACAACATTGGATATTCACTCGATTTCTCATGTAGCGATTTCCTTATTTTGTTGTAATTCAAAAACGAATAACCGTAGATACATGAAAATTTCACTGAATGTTTATATTAGCATTTCCTATACACCATACAATTTTGAAAATATTTTGACTCTTTTTGAGCCGTTTACGGACATTTTTAGTTTTCAATTTTTTAAGTTTTTTTTTTCTATAAACATCAATTAAGTTTTATCTGTTGGGCCAAAAAGTGTAAAAATTAAATACAATCTTCCTGATATATTGTTACAATAGCAATTGAAAAATATTAAAAATACATAGGCACAATTTTTTTTTATAAGCATTTAAAGATCGCATTTTGACAAAATTTATCAAAATATCGAAAATTATCAATCATCGTAATTAATAAATTATAAAATGTTCAGTTTTTATAGCTAAGGATTACAAATTCTACACAAAGGTTCTCATAAATAGTTCATACTATAACCAAAAAATCTAAAAAATATATGAGTACAGTTATTTTTTACAGACATTTTAAGTTCAAATTTGGGACGAAATTACATATTAAAAAACCTAGCATACCTATTTTAGTTATTTTGTTGTGAGTGTATAATACTATTCGTGGGTACTTGAAACTTCTAAAGTACACTATATTATAATATATCTATGATAGTATCAGGATTTGTTATTGATGTATAACGTGTTATAAGTACCTAATGGATATTGTGATGTGATTAATTTGGAATTAAGTAGGTCAATTTTTTTTTTAATACCATAGATATGTATATAATGTCTTAAACCTAGACTGACATACCGTCTTCGCTCAGAATCGTTTTTCTTATACAATGATATTGTATCATTGAATTCAAATTTAATAGCATCCATTATACAGTGACCCACTTGTAACCTACTGTACAGCAGAGCGACAACCACTTACCCACCTTTTTTGTTTTTTCTTACAAGGAAATCAGTAAACATATATCAGATGCGATAGTTGTAGGTCACAGATTGCTAGCTCGCAATCGTGATACATTATGCTTGACTAATGTCCAACTTGATTACATTTTAAAAAGTTTTGGACATTATAGAATTGATGTATGCAAGTACTTGGGCAATGCTTGCATACTCCAAGCTAACATTCTAAATGGCAATGTAGACAATTTAAAATTGCCCGATGACGTTGAAGCCATTTTTAATTTTGTGACTGACCATGACTACATAACGGATTTAAATATATTGGCAAAAAAATTTATTGATCATCATCCAAAATTTTCAAAAAAAAAAACAAATCAATAAAAAAAAAGGCCTACCAGTCAACTAAGAACGGGCTTGAAGTTCAATAATGTACCGATCGCGTCCCCGTCTTCGGGCTTGATATTTTCAACTCTCTCCGAATCCGTTGCCCATATTTTCCCTAGGAATATTCGAAATCACGTGTGTCGTGTATTCGATTTTGAAACTTCGTTTTACACATTCCCCACGGGCCGGTTAATGAAAAGTCAAGTCCGAAGACGGCGAGCGGATAAAATAATTTTTTCCCCATCAAGCCTACAATTCCCTAAAAAAAGACCGATCCGATCGGTCTACCGGCCGCGTAGTGGTAATCCGGCCGTCGCGGCCACTTGAATCCGCGACGATGGTCGTCGTCTGATGGTGTGCCGCCGGTCGCCAACGTCGCGGCGACGTAACCTTACTCCGGGGAGACGACCCGCCGGCAAGCGAGAGTTGCCGGTTAGTCGTCGGCGGCGACCGTGTAAAATATACTGTGCTTAGTGGTACGGTTTCCACCGGGGAGACGACCCGCCGTCAAGGGAGTGTTCACCGTGTCCCCGTAGTGAAATTTCAAAAAAAAATATTTTTTTTCCTCACGCGGTCGTAAACACCGATTACCCGGCGACTGCCGCTTGACCGTTCATCATGTCCCCGTAGTGAAATTTCAAAAAAAATATTTTTTTTCCTCACGCGGTCGTAAACACCGATTACCCGGCGACTGCCCCTTGACCGCTCATCGTGTCCCCGTAACCAAAAATAATGTTTACCTCTAGGTTGGTCGTTCGACTCCCCTCTTTGCTATTGTAGAGGCGCACTGTCCCCATCACCTCCCCTTAATCCCCTTCGCGCCCCTCCTAGGAGGTTCGGGTTTGCGGGATCCTGTTCGTCATCGCCTAGGTAGGACAGGGAAACTCTGGGGGGGGCAAATTTTCATTCCCGAAGCTCTCCGATCAAACCCGGCCGAGTTATCGGCGAAAAACCGCGTTTCCCAGGCGTTTACCAAAAAGTAAACATTGCGTTTCGGATTTTTTGTGATAAGACGCGTTTCCCAATGCGCAGTCGCACGCACTTTTGCGCTCAGCGCGCTCTCCGAAATCCGTAGACCTCGATGTCCCGATTTCATTTTGTCATTCGTTCAGCAGCAGTCCGCCTGGTCGCACGTCTACCGTTCTACACTACCGCGTTGCCGATCACAGCCGACTTCAGCTACCGCAACTTTCCGTTGAAACCCAACCGTTTTTTTTCAACCGTGAATAACTTACATTTCACCGTTGTTTAGGTAACACTTTTATCACTTAAACATCTCAACACCAAAAATAATGTTTACCTCTAGGTTGGTCGTTCGACTCCCCTCTTTGCTATTGTATAGACTCACTGTCCCCATCACCTCCCCTTAATCCCCTTCGCTCCCATCCTTGGAGGTTCGGGTTTGCGGTGTCGTGTCCGTCATCGCCTAGGTAGGACAGGGGGTCTCTGGGGGGGGCGTCAAAAGTTCAAAATTTTGTGTATCCGGTGGCAAGTTTTTTTTTTCGCGACACTCGGGATAACTCTTATCTCCGATAAGACGCGTTTCCCAATGCGTAGTCGCACGCACATATTTCGCTCAGCGCGCTCTCTGAAATCTATAGACCTCGATGCCCCGGTTACATTTTACCTAACCTACATTTTGTCATTCTTTCAGCAGCAGTCTGCCGACTCAACTGTCCGCCGCGCATCAACCGATAACGCTATTTTGTCGTTTGCATTTTCTGCTTCTCTTATATTGTAGAAATGAGTTCCGCAAAGAGTATGGAAATGGCATTAAACGCAATTACTGCTGGTACGTACAGTATCAGCCAGGCCGCTGTCGAGTTCAATGTGCCCGAAACCACATTGCGTACTCTCGTCAAGCAATTGGGCATTGAACCGAAAGCCGTAAGTTTTCATTTTGTGTGTTTTGTTATGTGACTCCCCATTACGTTGTTCTCAATTTGTGACCTAGGCCGTTGAATCGTACGTCCGAACCAAGGATAATGTTAATTTGAAGCGAGGGGTCGCTCTAGTTCTAGAGTCGGGATTAGCCGTGAACAAGGCTTCTAGGGTACCTAGTCAAAGTTCCTAGGGCAATCCTGAGAAAGGAATTGAAATTAGTAAGAAAGGACCGCGCATCTAAAGCACCGGTGCCGGTTTCGTTGTCCGACGACGATTCTTTGTTTTGCTTGGAGGAACCAAGTGTCGCGGTACAGCGTAGGCCTGTACCTGTTTCGGCTGCGGTGGGTGCCACGTCGGAACCGGCGACGGCTTCGGCGGTGGGACCTGTGGGGTCGTCTCGGGTGCAGTCGGCGTCTGTATTCGTGACATCGGAACCGTCGTGTGTCGAAGAGCGTCCGGCAGTAGCGGTGTCGGCGGCCGAGGGTGCCACGTCGGAACCGGCGACGGCTTCGGCGGAGGAACCCGAGGCGTCGGCTCCGTTACGGCCGTCCGTGAAGCGTCGCACTTCGGCTCTGAGGTTCCAAATTCAGAACAAATTAATCTTCTCGGACGACGGTGCCAAAACCGTGCCGACGATGTGCGTTCTGACCGAAAAATCCGCTTACAACAAGCCTCCCCCCCCCCTCAGCATAGGAACGTTATGCGTAGTCCGGATGTTGCTGTTCCTTCTCTTACTGCAACATTTGTAAAACGTAAGTCTTTAAAAATATAATTTGTTTCATTATTCTATTTGATTTTTAATACATTTTTAGCCGTTTGCAAATACGTTTCGGGCAAGAAGAAAATTGTGCATGTCAAAGCACAACTCCATAAGCGATCGACATATTTTCCCCGCCTACCGAAAAAATTTGATAACCTTCGGTTCTCGACAATAAAAGTCCCGGGAGACGAAGAAGCGCTGCTTGTCGTAGATGACAATTGTGTACAATCCGTGTCGACGGTTTACGATTTTGAAGACCACACGCCGAGCCCTGCTCCTTATAAGCCGGCATTGTCTCGGCCAAGGTCGCCAATTAAGTCACCACCGAGTCCTAAAGTGGCTCGTTTAACGCCTGCTGCCTCGATACCAACGAAAGGTCACGGCATTTATACGCCGTCGCCGTCACCGCCAACAGCCAATTCGTTAGTTTGCCAATTTGACGACCGTGTGCCGAACCCGGCATTGTCTCGGTCACGGTCGCCTTTAAATCCCCCGACAAGTCCCCCTGTTCAATCGCCTGTTGCCGGACCGTCCTGGTGGTCGCCTTCTGGGCGGAGGTCACCATTGGTGAAAACTGTTGTTTCACCTCCAATAACTACGGCTTCCCCACTCAGGGTGGACTCGTGGGTGGACGCCACCGACGACAGCGACGACAATCTTCCGTCACAGCGTAGGACTGTGACGGAAAAGCAACAATTGGCTGAGGACACTCCCGTAAGTCTATAACTCACATAATTATTATGTCTTATCCACGCTTATAATTTGCTTTTGTCCATTAGATGGTTAAATGTTGCCCGCTATGTGACCATTGCACATCTGGCAACAAAATTACGAGGCACATAGAAAACAAACACCTAACCTAACCTAACCTAACTGTGGGCCACCTGAAGGCTATTGGCAAGTTAATTACAACCGAGTCCCGGAAATCGTATACGCTCGTTCCAATGTCCGTGGTCCAGAAAAAACTGGGCCCTTATTTTGACGACAGATGCTTCCGGAGCATCGCACACGAGTAAATACCGATTAAATTCAAATACTCAAATTCCATTGTTAATTTGGCGTATTCGTTTCAGACTTACGGTCATGGGAAGATTAAAAGTCTATGGTGGTTCTTGGAACCTGCTGGGCGTCAAAGACTTGCCAAATCCTTTTTCCGACCATCTATTGGAAGCTACTGTAAATGTTACGGGCTTCGAACCGCTCGAATCTAATATTGCACCCGTGGTAATACCGGTGGAAAATACGACGCGAGAAGTGCCGCTGCCGACTGAAACGATTGTGGCGGAAAGTTCATCTAGGTATATAAGTACTTCCCTACTAGCCTAACTAGCCTACTAACCTAACCTAACCCTATTAGTATATTAAGTACGTCTAGGTATATTCGTGTGGGTATTATCTTGGGAGGCGTTCTTATTAATTACTCGGTCTACAATTAATCGTGTTTTACATTTATTTTCGTCATTAGGAGCGTCAGAAAGGCAACATTGGACCTTGGTCTTAACCAACAATTGCCTAAAACCCACCCGCTCATAAAAATGTTTGTTGCTACGCTTAAATCGGTCCACGGCGAGGAATCGGCAGCAGCAACTAACTATATAGCAAATGTGTCAAGGGTGCTGCATTTCGTGCACACCCACTTGGTTGAAACGAACAACCCACCAAAACATTGGGTGGACCTGGTTTCTACCGACGTCGAAGTGTACGAGAGATACATGACACTGTAAGTACCAGTGGTGCCAGTGGCATGGTTAAGTATTAAGTATAATCAAACAATGTTTATACTGTTGTTTAGACGAGAAAATACTGGCCAAACTAAGTCGACGACTACAAACTATATGAAAAACCTCCGGACGCTCTTTGAATATGTACTTAAGTCCTATATATACACGGACCCGACATTCCCCAAGGGGTTTGATCTTTGTCCTTGTGTCCACACGGTGACCAAAATCAAACTGCTTGAACACCAGTTGGGGCTCGTGTACAAACGTAAAACTAAACAGCTGCCTGGCGAGCTCTTTTCAAGGAAAACAAAAGAGGCACAGGCGCTACCTCAACACACTGAAGTTGAGGCCAGCGTGAAAAAAATTGAATCAAATATAACGGAATGCCTCACCGAACTGGAAACATTGTTCAGAAATGACGGAACAGTTTCCGTCCGCAGCGAGAAAAACGGGACCGCGGAGGAGAAAAAGGTGTGTAAGTATATATTTGCGCATAACGCTTGCATGATCGAAACTTATTAATTTATATTTTTTAGTTGTCTAGTCTATGGCGCAAGACCACGTCAGCCTTGATGATTTCAATACTTTGGACCTCAAAACAGAGGAGTGGCGTGGTGGTTAACATGACGATGGGCGAGTGGGAGGCCCGAAGACACCACTTGACCAGCGCCATCATCACGGTTAGCGACCACAAAACTGGTGATAAGGAGCCGGCCTCGTTGGTCATTGACGAGGAGATGGAGCTGTCGATGATGAGGTAATCATTTGATTAAGACTGGCCTTGACCTATGCAAATTCCCTATTAACATTTTCTGTTCTCAGGTACTACCATTTGAGAATACGGACGGGGTACAAACCTGTAAACTTTTTCGTCACCAACCGGGGCGAAAAAGTTACGAAAATCTATGATGACCTTAACAAGATTTACGGGGCCAACCTGTCGGCCAGGATATTTCGCATAATGACGGAGACCAGTGGCCGTAGCCATGATTCTGCAACGTCTTCGATGGTTGCGAAGGCGTTGCAGCATTCTGAAAACACAGCGCTAAAATTTTATCGGTTGCCCGCCACGGACGAGGCAATGCGCAGGCAGCGGAGTCTGGACGCCGTAACACATACGGCACTAGTCAAGTCATTTGTGGACAAACAGTAAGTTACTTTATCTCCTTACGCAATCACATAAGACTAACCAGCTCTGACCGTTATCATTTGTTTTCAGTTTCGAAGACTTCTACCCGCTGCTTCCGTATTCAAAGTTTCCCTCGCCCGATGAAGCGTTAGAGAAGATCACCACGCACGACATTTATGAATCTTACCCACAAGCCGTCATCGACGTTGACTATGTTCTCGGGTTGCGGGACCGTTTCGACTACCATTTACAGGACCAGCTTGCGGGGATCCTGTATGACGAGGTGCTTGCTGCTGGTTATACAAAAACCAACATTAGTGACCACGCCATTACGGACGTCGCGAGATCTAGCAAAATTCACCATTTCCTAGTGAACCCGAAGTACCGCAAAAAGATGATTAAAAAAGTGATTGCCAAGTTTGTGTAATTGTCAGAGCAATTTTTTTTAATTTAAATCTTTTATATTTTTATCTTTTTTTATTAATGAAATAACCCTCGCAACAATGTCTATGAGATTAATTAAATAGATTAATTTTGAGGTTATATTTTTAAATTTTGTAAAACCATTGTATATTGTCTTACTTTAAAACATCGTAAATGATGTGTGTAAAAAGAACGAAAATAGTTAATTTTTTAATTTATATTAATTTTATCTTCGTTCAATAAAATTATTTTATTTTATGAAAGAACTGTTTTTCTTTATAAAAATAATTTAAAAAATACTACCCAACGTCCGACCCTTCTCAGCGGTAACAAAGTCAAGCCCAAAGACGGGGAGCGGATAAAATCATTTTTTCCCCGTCAAGCCTACAATTCCCTAAAAAAGACCGATCCAATAGGTTTGTTGTAAGAGTCATTCTCAAGTCTGCAATTATCTTGAAATTTTGAAAAAATATTACAAGTTGCTGCGTAGCAGTAATGCGTTCTCAAGTCTGGAATTCTCTTGAAATTATGAAAAAATATGTTGCTGCGTAGCAGTACTGCGTTCTCAAGCCTGGCTCCCTTTAAAAAGAGACATGCCTTGTCGAACGAGAGAATTCTCTCGTGTATGAAATTCTCCTGATTGAGAGAAAAATGGGCTTGACTTGACGCAGACCGTTCCGATCGGTCTGTAGACCGATTCCCAAGTGGCCTCCTGGATCGGTCATCATAAGAGCACGTGTAAACCCAATTCGTTAATTGAATGGAATTCTATGTCTTGAACTTAATTTATTTTTAAAATGCCACCCAGAGAATTCTCAATGAATAAAACTATTTTTAAAGAAGTTCGCTTGGAGCAGACCGATTCGGGAGGACAGGATCAAGCTCAACAATTTAAAATTGCCCGATGACGTTGAAGCCATTTTTAATTTTGTGACTGACCATGACTACATAACGGATTTAAATATATTGGCAAAAAAATTTATTGATGATCATCTAAAATTTTCAAAAAAAAAAACAAATCAATAAAAAAAAAGGCCTACCAGTCAACTAAGAACAAAATAAACAGCGTACAAATGATAAATTTATTAAAATTATATGCTTTAACAAATAAGTAAGCTATAATATATTTAATACCTTAAACAATTAACTTAACACTAATAATCTATTAATTTATTACTAACTATAGTGATGAAAAAGAGATTGAATGTGTATAGATGAAATACAAATTGTATATAGTACATCCACATTCATTAATACGATATTGAATAAGTGTAACAATAACATTATTCCTTACCAATTTTGGTCTTATAATAAAAATAATAATGTTACAAATATCACCGAGTATATACAAATGATGACATCTATATTTGATATTAAAAACATACCAAACTCAAACATGTTTGGGTACAGAGATTCGTGAGTATTAAACATTTAGAATTTAACAGTATTTAACAATAATTTAACAGTATTTAACAATAATTTACATTAATTTACAATAATTACAGATACGGAATAGAGAATTGTATAAATAATTTTAAGAACATATTTACAATGTATATTGATTGTTGTAAAATACAAATTTTAATACAATTTTTAAACATTTGTAATACATACAAAACAAATGTTAATACGGATAATGGATATATTTATTATGCAATAATTAAATGTAAATTTTATGAATTTAAAAACAATTTTAAATATTATAACAAACACTTGAGTTTTGATAAAAATTTTAAAGTTAAATCGTAAGTACAATAACATTTAATTTTTACAGTTTATTTACAAAAAATTTTACAGTATATTTACAAACAATAATCAAATGGTGATAGACAATAAAATAATAGACGTACAAACAAATAAATTTATATCAGAAAGGTTTAATTACATAGATGTATTGATATTAAACTTTATGCACATTTATATACACAATACAGCACTTCGCAATGCTACAGTAATAACTCATCATTTATAACAATATTATATTATAATATATTATTTAATTGTAATATTCATAATTTTCAGATTAGCAATATGTGTCAATCATTTATGTTAGTTATGAATATGATAAATAAAAATGATACATTCAATAATTGTAAATTATTAATCACAAAAACATTAGATAAATTCATACAAAACAATTTATTAACGAGGCACAAGATGTATGATCATGGACCATTTATATATACCATAAATATTATTAACCCCCTGGTTAAGTCGATGGTATTCAATTATGAATTGAGGAAAGGTGATTATACAATGTATAATCAACCAATTGTATACATTAACCAGGGAGCAAATTCAAGAAAATGCGCATATATATAAAGTAAATATATATATATACATATTATATTATATTATATATTTATGATATATTTAAGAGGATGTCGAACCCCCCATGTTTCCTTCGTCTTACATGTGTAGGATACAGCACATTTTACATGAGCAGGTGTAACATCCTCTTAATAATAATAATACTAATAATAACATTCTTATCCTAGATGAATACAAATCTTGAAATCTGGTATTTAATTGCATTAGAATATTATCAATTATTTCATAAAACAATATTTTAAAATTTGATTGATTGTTAGATTCATTTCTTGTAGCTTTTGGAGGTTTTGTAAGAGTAACTGCTTGATTAAATAATTTTAAAAATTCAGGTTCATTTCTTTTTTTATTTATAAGATCATATGTTATATTTATTTTTATCAAGCAAAATTCTACATCAAATGATTTATTTTGGAGTATGTTAAATAAATTGTCAGTATATATGAATATATCACTAATTATCAGTGCTAAGAAAGCAAATTCAAAAGTTTTTAAATTTTTAAAATGACCAATAGCACCACAAATAGTTTCAGATGACGATTTTGGATCTTTGCTAATACAGTCAAAAACATTTATAAACCCAGACCACTCATTAACTATTGTGTGTAAAATTTTTGACCGTGAGGACCATCTTGTTTCAACAAATTGAGAAATTCTTTTCCCTACAATAGTATCTACAAAATTAGTACGTGAAGTGGAATTGTGAAAATAAGCAGGGATACCAGTGAGGTTAGCAAAAAATATACGACATTTAGCATTTATACTACAACCATGTTGCAATACCAAATTTAATCTGTGAGCTAGGCAGTGTGTAAATAAAGCATTAGGTGCAACTTCCTTAACTCTAGCCTGTAAACCTGTTAAATGCCCAGACATTACACATGTGTAATTGAGCGCATTGTGTGTGTAATTCATGTACCCAATAGTACATATTCTGAGGCGAAGTTGAACGGTGCCTTCTGATGTCATCGGAACATTGCCGCCGGTTGAAACACCAGCGTTTGTTTACGTAATAATTATTTCATACATTTCTTATCGTTTTATCACTATTTTTGGTAATAAACACTAAATGATAATTCATATTGTTAAACTTGGCAAAGAAGATTTTTTTCTCAAATAAAATCATAAAAACGTTAAAAATTTGTGGTTTCGATAATAATTATGTTTCGTATCTTATCGAATATTATTTATTTAGACTCACGGCAACGTTTTGTATACGATTTAATTCGCATTACATCTATTGGGGTTTTTTCGTATCGGCCGGCAGGATTACTAATAATAGACACCCGTAATCGTCGATCGCAGTGGTTGTTATGCACCCCCTTCCACCGTCTGTGTCTAAGGCGCCTTCGTCGTCGTTTGTCTCCGCCGATCTTACATTTTATACCTTGTTATTGATTTTTTGTAATACTATTGTGATTTACAATTTAAATTTAAAACTATTAGAGGGGCCAAAAAAAAAGCTTCGCAGGCCGCGGGTTGTACCACCCTGATCTAACATATATATTACTAAATAACATAATATATTTAATTATAAACAAAATACTACTGGCATTCATTTGATGTTTTAAATTGTATAGGTTTTAAAACACATAAGACAAAAACTCGCAAATTTCAATTCACAACAAAACGTGAAAAAGATACACTAACCAAACTTATGGATATATACAAAAAATCTTTAGAAGATAAGTCATACAGGTACGAAAGAAATTCAAGGTTTAAAAACCAAAAATATGATGTTAAAATTGTCGCAACACAAACTATAAGTTGTGGAAAAATAATTTACACCTTGTGTGGAATGACAGCTCCCATAAAACCTGAAGAAATAAAAGTATGTTTTGCCAAACTATTAATAACAAGTTTATATTTTTATTTAATTTTTTTTTTCTCAGATTGGTGTGAATGACTTCTCTATTTTGACCAGTTCGCGGAACAAAAAGGATTTATTGTTCCTGGGCCCTGCGGCGTACATAAATCATAGCTGCTCCAACAATACAGAATGGGTGGCTGGGCTGGGCGAAGGAGTTTGGTGCGCAAAAGCAATTCAACACATACGCATTGGCACAGAAATAACCACAGATTATGGCGACCATTACTTTGGTGAAAACCAAAAAGATTGTGAATGTGGATGACAGTCCTTTTTTTAAACTGTTTAGGGTAATGAAAAAATTATAAAAATTTTTCAATTGGCAACATTTCAAATGCAAAAGAATTGCCTTTGAGATTAATGCATTTCCTTATGTATCGGAGCTGAAATATATTGAAATCAAATATTATTATTGTATATTTTTAAACATATTTCCAAGACTTACACATCAACTGTTACAAATTTATTTATTGTATCCCATTGGTTAATAATTAGTAGTGATGGGCACTATCGAATAGTTGGTACTATCGAATACAATTCGATAGTAAGGCTATACTATTGAATGTTTTTTTATATGACCGAATAGTTTTTAATTTTAAAACTATTCGAATATTCCAAAAAACTATTCGAATAGACCGAATAAAAACTATTCGAATAATATTCCGAATAAAAACTATTCGAATAATATTCCGAATAAAAACTATTCGAATATACCAAATAAAAACTATTCGAATATTCCGAATAAAAACTAGATGATAATATAATGAATGTTTCTTATGTCAAATAATTTTGGTTAAAGTGCATTTTACCAACCCCCTCAGGATTTTCAATTTTTTTTTTCAAACGACTTATTTTTATGCTTAAACGATGGTGTACATTATTTTAGAAGTTATAGCCTTCCAAAGTTTGCGATTTCACGTTTATACGCCACGCGCTGCTCCTATAACAAATTTTAATTTTTTTTTTTTTTTACGTATTTTAACGTTGTGGGACAGTAATATTTTGGGTGAATAAAATTATAAATCAGGTCATTTATTAGTTGAAATATACAGCTTTTTAACAACTTTGTTTAATTCCGAGGCCTACCCAAGGTGGTTTTACACAGCAAATCGGAGGATATTTTCCATTTTTTTTGTTAAAAACGCAAAAAAAATAATCTTATTTGTAATAGCACTGCGCGTGGCAGTCAAGTAGCGTTGCGCGCTACTATCCAGCATCGACCAGCATCGGGTCTTACACCGAACCAATCTCGTTTACACTTTGCACGAGACTAGGGGCGGTACGTCGATTGTCATCTGACTACTACTTGTGTTTTGACCACCATCCGGGCTGCATCGGATACTTATAGACTGCTACCAACAACTGCACAGCTAGTAAGTATGGAACAGTCACAACCCTTTAAAAAGAAAAGGAAATGTGTTACCGACCATGACAGACACCGGGAAAGTGCCCTAAAATCAATACTCGTTAAGGATTTACCCATATATGATATCCGCTGGAATCTAGGGTTCCTTAATAAATTGTATGAACCAGTACTGTGTAAGGGAGCTCCTGTAAACGGGTATCTGTCAAGTGCAGATGTATTAAACAAAGTTATCTTTAAGGTGTTTATGTCGTACTCAGACGCTTTCCAGCTAGGATTCACATCCCATCCACTTCAAAATGTTATTCTGAAACCAGGGAATTATTTAGAATTTTCAGAATGTCGTTTCGTTAGGAAAATGAGTGACACAAATCTGCCTCCAAATGATTATGGTATTTACGAAGTGCATATACCTGAAAACAAAACACTCGAAGATATTAACACCTTAAAAATTATTAATTGGTTATGGGTCAATCAGCGTCACAACTATGACGGCTGGATGAAGATGATAAGAGTGATGGTCTTGACTGGACGCCAAATGCAAGGACGTCCAATTGAAAATGACCTTAACAAAAAATGTATTTCTACAAGGGTATCAGTGAATGCATTGATTGGTGACCGAGGCCTATGCCATGGTTTATGTGATCTTAAAGTTCCGAAACTTTTAATCGACCGATCCACAGGATTATACAATTGGCCCGGATGGGCCTTGACTTTTGATACGGATGAAAACAGTTCATTTCACTCGAGTTCACCCGATAATAGTGACTTCGGCACGGATAGCGCCGACAGCGGACCCATCGGGGTAGCATGCAATCGCCCACGTATAACGGGTTTTACGTCTTTTACTGAGACATCTAGTGAATCCTCGAGTGAAGCTTCGAGTAAATCAAAAACTAGCAGACTGGACGTTTTTATTAATGGCCGCGGCGGAGACTACTGGGATCGACGTATGCGTAAACGGTTCGATTTGTACATGCGCACATCGTTCAATGAACGACGTATTCGTGGAGCCATTCGCGAGGCAAGGCGCAAGGTGCGTCTCCAATATGACAGTGAACGTCGTTCGATGGAGCCGCTCTTCGACGCGGAAGCGAAGCGCGCAGAAGCGTTGGCTGCTGAGCGTGTGCGTTCCAAAGTGAGACACCAAAACGAAACACTTCGAGTCAATAATTATCCCGCACCAAGGGGAAAATCAATTGAACATTATTTGTATCGGTATAAACAGCTTAATCACAAATTAAAATCACAGTTGGAGTGTTCGTGGACAAGGTATTACGGCAAAAAGTTAATTCCTACAAATATAAATAAATCGGAGCACCGAAACGATATATCGTTGAAATGTTGGGTATCACCAGTTCCCTGGATTCATCAAACCGGAATAAAGTGAGTTATATTGTATATTTACAAAAAATATTGTACTTTTAGCAATTTATTGTTTTTTAGAGTAGTAGTTGTAGTAATAGAGTAGTAAATAGTTATTGTTAAGAGGTCGTCGTCCCTGCATATCATCGTCCCCACTCATACAAAGTCCAAATATTTTTCCGGAAATATTTTTTATTCCAAAGGGGGAGTCACCTGCCACCAGTGCCCCCCCCCTGGATCCACCCTTGGAATTTTAAAATTTTTGAAATTTTTTTATATTTTTTTAAGGAAATTTCACGTGACATCGCTTCATGTTTGATTTTTTTGAAAACAAAACTTAAATGTATAGATATAAATGTGATAAATTTAACAATGAATAGTTATGGTAAATTTATCGATTATATTATATTATTTTTTGTCCGATTATATTTTTAATGACCATGCTGCCATACAAAATTGGATTTCAATCCATACTGAGAGTAATTTGCTATGTCATGATAGTCAATTTGCTGCACTAGTTGAGTGCATCAGCAAAAGTGCAAATTTATACAGTGCAGCAAAGATGTATGTGGATAGTACACCTGCATACCAAAAAAAAGCAAAAAAATCAAAGCAAAAATGTACACTACTATTTATAATAAATTAAATTCTGTAACATTTCAATCGTATACAAAGGTGTGTTTTTACCAAATAACTATATCTAACTAGCTAATCGTTAGCAATAAACTATAATTTATTAGGTTTATCTATATTTGTATGCTAGGTGCGTATCTTTATCGGCATTTTATATGTACCTCATACATCATAATACAGTGTGTTTCACTCAAATGGTAACACGAAATATTTTCGGATGATTTTATTCCTTTTTTTCATGGGAATTGTGCTGAAGTCTGATTGCGTTTTTTTGTTTTTATATTTTATTTAATGTAATGATGAATTATAAGTACTGTGATGCATGGCAAATTATACAGGTATGTATTTGTTTTATATATGGGACATTTATTGGATTTTTTCCACATTTTTTGGCACAAGAGTAGCAACAATAAATATGGCCAATTTTTCCATGGTTAATTGCATTCGTTTATACGCTCGTCTAGGTATGTACAAGAATTGTAAAAACTAATAAAAAAAAAAAAAAAATGTCCAATTGCGGCATGAATGTTGTATGGTTTCTCCACACACATGTGGTTTAAACTAAAAAACTTTAAACTAGGTAGGGTAAAACAGTGGAATAGGGCTACAGGCGAAAACCACTTAAAAAAAAACGCACTTATGTGTAACACCTCAAGGGTAGTGTGGACGATTACACGAAAAATGCACATAATATAGCACTTAGGTTTATGCTACCTGATGCTGATTGCACGGGGCGAGCCGGTCAAGCCTAGGCTCGACCTGAAACTTTTTTGGGACATAGTAAAATGTACGTATTATATTATATATTATAGTTCTGCAAAATTATTTCCTTTGAAAAATAATAGGTGTGTAATATTAATTACCTTAGGTACCTACTAGCCTAGTAGTACTAGGTAACTTAGGTACCTACTTAACTGTGACGCCTGGATGAAGATGATAAGAGTGATGGTCTTGACTGGACGCCAAATGCAAGGACGTCCAATTGAAAATGACCTTAACAAAAAATGTATTTCTACAAGGGTATCAGTGAATGCATTGATTGGTGACCGAGGCCTATGCCATGGTTTATGTGATCTTAAAGTTCCGAAACTTTTAATCGACCGATCCACAGGATTATACAATTGGCCCGGATGGGCCTTGACTTTTGATACGGATGAAAACAGTTCATTTCACTCGAGTTCACCCGATAATAGTGACTTCGGCACGGATAGCGCCGACAGCGGACCCATCGGGGTAGCATGCAATCGCCCACGTATAACGGGTTTTACGTCTTTTACTGAGACATCTAGTGAATCCTCGAGTGAAGCTTCGAGTAAATCAAAAACTAGCAGACTGGACGTTTTTATTAATGGCCGCGGCGGAGACTACTGGGATCGACGTATGCGTAAACGGTTCGATTTGTACATGCGCACATCGTTCAATGAACGACGTATTCGTGGAGCCATTCGCGAGGCAAGGCGCAAGGTGCGTCTCCAATATGACAGTGAACGTCGTTCGATGGAGCCGCTCTTCGACGCGGAAGCGAAGCGCGCAGAAGCGTTGGCTGCTGAGCGTGTGCGTTCCAAAGTGAGACACCAAAACGAAACACTTCGAGTCAATAATTATCCCGCACCAAGGGGAAAATCAATTGAACATTATTTGTATCGGTATAAACAGCTTAATCACAAATTAAAATCACAGTTGGAGTGTTCGTGGACAAGGTATTACGGCAAAAAGTTAATTCCTACAAATATAAATAAATCGGAGCACCGAAACGATATATCGTTGAAATGTTGGGTATCACCAGTTCCCTGGATTCATCAAACCGGAATAAAGTGAGTTATATTGTATATTTACAAAAAATATTGTACTTTTAGCAATTTATTGTTTTTTAGAGTAGTAGTTGTAGTAATAGAGTAGTAAATAGTTATTGTTAAGAGGTCGTCGTCCCTGCATATCATCGTCCCCACTCATACAAAGTCCAAATATTTTTCCGGAAATATTTTTTATTCCAAAGGGGGAGTCACCTGCCACCAGTGCCCCCCCCCTGGATCCACCCTTGGAATTTTAAAATTTTTGAAATTTTTTTATATTTTTTTAAGGAAATTTCACGTGACATCGCTTCATGTTTGATTTTTTTGAAAACAAAACTTAAATGTATAGATATAAATGTGATAAATTTAACAATGAATAGTTATGGTAAATTTATCGATTATATTATATTATTTTTTGTCCGATTATATTTTTAATGACCATGCTGCCATACAAAATTGGATTTCAATCCATACTGAGAGTAATTTGCTATGTCATGATAGTCAATTTGCTGCACTAGTTGAGTGCATCAGCAAAAGTGCAAATTTATACAGTGCAGCAAAGATGTATGTGGATAGTACACCTGCATACCAAAAAAAAAGCAAAAAAATCAAAGCAAAAATGTACACTACTATTTATAATAAATTAAATTCTGTAACATTTCAATCGTATACAAAGGTGTGTTTTTACCAAATAACTATATCTAACTAGCTAATCGTTAGCAATAAACTATAATTTATTAGGTTTATCTATATTTGTATGCTAGGTGCGTATCTTTATCGGCATTTTATATGTACCTCATACATCATAATACAGTGTGTTTCACTCAAATGGTAACACGAAATATTTTCGGATGATTTTATTCCTTTTTTTCATGGGAATTGTGCTGAAGTCTGATTGCGTTTTTTTGTTTTTATATTTTATTTAATGTAATGATGAATTATAAGTACTGTGATGCATGGCAAATTATACAGGTATGTATTTGTTTTATATATGGGACATTTATTGGATTTTTTCCACATTTTTTGGCACAAGAGTAGCAACAATAAATATGGCCAATTTTTCCATGGTTAATTGCATTCGTTTATACGCTCGTCTAGGTATGTACAAGAATTGTAAAAACTAATAAAAAAAAAAAAAAAATGTCCAATTGCGGCATGAATGTTGTATGGTTTCTCCACACACATGTGGTTTAAACTAAAAAACTTTAAACTAGGTAGGGTAAAACAGTGGAATAGGGCTACAGGCGAAAACCACTTAAAAAAAAACGCACTTATGTGTAACACCTCAAGGGTAGTGTGGACGATTACACGAAAAATGCACATAATATAGCACTTAGGTTTATGCTACCTGATGCTGATTGCACGGGGCGAGCCGGTCAAGCCTAGGCTCGACCTGAAACTTTTTTGGGACATAGTAAAATGTACGTATTATATTATATATTATAGTTCTGCAAAATTATTTCCTTTGAAAAATAATAGGTGTGTAATATTAATTACCTTAGGTACCTACTAGCCTAGTAGTACTAGGTAACTTAGGTACCTACTTAACTGTGACGCCTGGATGAAGATGATAAGAGTGATGGTCTTGACTGGACGCCAAATGCAAGGACGTCCAATTGAAAATGACCTTAACAAAAAATGTATTTCTACAAGGGTATCAGTGAATGCATTGATTGGTGACCGAGGCCTATGCCATGGTTTATGTGATCTTAAAGTTCCGAAACTTTTAATCGACCGATCCACAGGATTATACAATTGGCCCGGATGGGCCTTGACTTTTGATACGGATGAAAACAGTTCATTTCACTCGAGTTCACCCGATAATAGTGACTTCGGCACGGATAGCGCCGACAGCGGACCCATCGGGGTAGCATGCAATCGCCCACGTATAACGGGTTTTACGTCTTTTACTGAGACATCTAGTGAATCCTCGAGTGAAGCTTCGAGTAAATCAAAAACTAGCAGACTGGACGTTTTTATTAATGGCCGCGGCGGAGACTACTGGGATCGACGTATGCGTAAACGGTTCGATTTGTACATGCGCACATCGTTCAATGAACGACGTATTCGTGGAGCCATTCGCGAGGCAAGGCGCAAGGTGCGTCTCCAATATGACAGTGAACGTCGTTCGATGGAGCCGCTCTTCGACGCGGAAGCGAAGCGCGCAGAAGCGTTGGCTGCTGAGCGTGTGCGTTCCAAAGTGAGACACCAAAACGAAACACTTCGAGTCAATAATTATCCCGCACCAAGGGGAAAATCAATTGAACATTATTTGTATCGGTATAAACAGCTTAATCACAAATTAAAATCACAGTTGGAGTGTTCGTGGACAAGGTATTACGGCAAAAAGTTAATTCCTACAAATATAAATAAATCGGAGCACCGAAACGATATATCGTTGAAATGTTGGGTATCACCAGTTCCCTGGATTCATCAAACCGGAATAAAGTGAGTTATATTGTATATTTACAAAAAATATTGTACTTTTAGCAATTTATTGTTTTTTAGAGTAGTAGTTGTAGTAATAGAGTAGTAAATAGTTATTGTTAAGAGGTCGTCGTCCCTGCATATCATCGTCCCCACTCATACAAAGTCCAAATATTTTTCCGGAAATATTTTTTATTCCAAAGGGGGAGTCACCTGCCACCAGTGCCCCCCCCCTGGATCCACCCTTGGAATTTTAAAATTTTTGAAATTTTTTTATATTTTTTTAAGGAAATTTCACGTGACATCGCTTCATGTTTGATTTTTTTGAAAACAAAACTTAAATGTATAGATATAAATGTGATAAATTTAACAATGAATAGTTATGGTAAATTTATCGATTATATTATATTATTTTTTGTCCGATTATATTTTTAATGACCATGCTGCCATACAAAATTGGATTTCAATCCATACTGAGAGTAATTTGCTATGTCATGATAGTCAATTTGCTGCACTAGTTGAGTGCATCAGCAAAAGTGCAAATTTATACAGTGCAGCAAAGATGTATGTGGATAGTACACCTGCATACCAAAAAAAAAGCAAAAAAATCAAAGCAAAAATGTACACTACTATTTATAATAAATTAAATTCTGTAACATTTCAATCGTATACAAAGGTGTGTTTTTACCAAATAACTATATCTAACTAGCTAATCGTTAGCAATAAACTATAATTTATTAGGTTTATCTATATTTGTATGCTAGGTGCGTATCTTTATCGGCATTTTATATGTACCTCATACATCATAATACAGTGTGTTTCACTCAAATGGTAACACGAAATATTTTCGGATGATTTTATTCCTTTTTTTCATGGGAATTGTGCTGAAGTCTGATTGCGTTTTTTTGTTTTTATATTTTATTTAATGTAATGATGAATTATAAGTACTGTGATGCATGGCAAATTATACAGGTATGTATTTGTTTTATATATGGGACATTTATTGGATTTTTTCCACATTTTTTGGCACAAGAGTAGCAACAATAAATATGGCCAATTTTTCCATGGTTAATTGCATTCGTTTATACGCTCGTCTAGGTATGTACAAGAATTGTAAAAACTAATAAAAAAAAAAAAAAAAATGTCCAATTGCGGCATGAATGTTGTATGGTTTCTCCACACACATGTGGTTTAAACTAAAAAACTTTAAACTAGGTAGGGTAAAACAGTGGAATAGGGCTACAGGCGAAAACCACTTAAAAAAAAACGCACTTATGTGTAACACCTCAAGGGTAGTGTGGACGATTACACGAAAAATGCACATAATATAGCACTTAGGTTTATGCTACCTGATGCTGATTGCACGGGGCGAGCCGGTCAAGCCTAGGCTCGACCTGAAACTTTTTTGGGACATAGTAAAATGTACGTATTATATTATATATTATAGTTCTGCAAAATTATTTCCTTTGAAAAATAATAGGTGTGTAATATTAATTACCTTAGGTACCTACTAGCCTAGTAGTACTAGGTAACTTAGGTACCTACTTAACTGTGACGCCTGGATGAAGATGATAAGAGTGATGGTCTTGACTGGACGCCAAATGCAAGGACGTCCAATTGAAAATGACCTTAACAAAAAATGTATTTCTACAAGGGTATCAGTGAATGCATTGATTGGTGACCGAGGCCTATGCCATGGTTTATGTGATCTTAAAGTTCCGAAACTTTTAATCGACCGATCCACAGGATTATACAATTGGCCCGGATGGGCCTTGACTTTTGATACGGATGAAAACAGTTCATTTCACTCGAGTTCACCCGATAATAGTGACTTCGGCACGGATAGCGCCGACAGCGGACCCATCGGGGTAGCATGCAATCGCCCACGTATAACGGGTTTTACGTCTTTTACTGAGACATCTAGTGAATCCTCGAGTGAAGCTTCGAGTAAATCAAAAACTAGCAGACTGGACGTTTTTATTAATGGCCGCGGCGGAGACTACTGGGATCGACGTATGCGTAAACGGTTCGATTTGTACATGCGCACATCGTTCAATGAACGACGTATTCGTGGAGCCATTCGCGAGGCAAGGCGCAAGGTGCGTCTCCAATATGACAGTGAACGTCGTTCGATGGAGCCGCTCTTCGACGCGGAAGCGAAGCGCGCAGAAGCGTTGGCTGCTGAGCGTGTGCGTTCCAAAGTGAGACACCAAAACGAAACACTTCGAGTCAATAATTATCCCGCACCAAGGGGAAAATCAATTGAACATTATTTGTATCGGTATAAACAGCTTAATCACAAATTAAAATCACAGTTGGAGTGTTCGTGGACAAGGTATTACGGCAAAAAGTTAATTCCTACAAATATAAATAAATCGGAGCACCGAAACGATATATCGTTGAAATGTTGGGTATCACCAGTTCCCTGGATTCATCAAACCGGAATAAAGTGAGTTATATTGTATATTTACAAAAAATATTGTACTTTTAGCAATTTATTGTTTTTTAGAGTAGTAGTTGTAGTAATAGAGTAGTAAATAGTTATTGTTAAGAGGTCGTCGTCCCTGCATATCATCGTCCCCACTCATACAAAGTCCA